GAAAACGGGAAAATGCGTATAAAAAAGCTCAGACAAAAATCAAAACTCGGGCTGTATTACTCGATTGGTATGGTATTTACAAATCGAATGGTATTCTTTCGATGCTGTGGCTTGAAAACTGTAGGAGGAGATAGATTTTCAAAGTACCCCCTTTTTCCGTTTTCTATGAATTTCACGTTTTCTTTGAGTTCTTACGAAAAAATCATACCAACAGAATGTGCTTGTATTTCGGTTTTACATATATGTGTAAAGTTTCACAAAGATCCGTTAGTAAATGTGGAAGTTTTTCCGGAGGGAATACCCACCCTAACGTTATTTTAGAAAGGATACACATGGATATTTCGAGTTCTTTTTTGAAGATCAAACTATTATATTTTTTCCAACTTAAATTTTGTTGTATTTCAAAATGTTGTTGATATTTCTTTCCAGACTTTTTTTTTGAAGGAGAATGATCACGGCAAGATCGATGAATCTGATTCTGTGATTGTGCTGGAGGCAAATCAAAGTCTGTCCAGTCAACCGATGTTACCAGCTACAGGCGACAGCTAGTATGGCCTCCTCCAGACCATCATAGAACACAATTTTTGGAAAATAAATAACGTGCTTTTCCATTTTATTTGCCTGTCAAGATTAAGTTCCATTACTTCCATATTAAACCACAACATGTATTCGTAGCAAAAATCATTTCAATTACCAAGCTCCAATCAGAATAGTAAAAGGATTAGTCTCAAGTTATTATATAAATGTATGATGGTAAGCCAAAGTTTACACCACATCAATAATTGATTCGTCTCCTTATTTCTCGTTAAGTCTCGTTAAAATAGCTATAAATTCCGGGAAATTTTAATATACCTATTTTAACCGGGATGTCTCGTCTCGTCTCGGTATCGTCCCGGAATTCCTATGGAGGGCTGAAAATTGTCCCGGTTTTTATTGCGAACCGGGACAGAGCCTGTTGTCTCGTCTCGTCTCGGATACAAAAAAATACCAAACGCAGGAGTCTACCCCACCCATCCTGAGTAGCCCCACCCATCCTGAGTAGCCCCGGTTGATGGTACTAGCCCAGTTCTATAAGCTAGAGGAAATGCTATATAACAACTCATATGAAGCTAAAAGTGGATAAGGTCATTATCATTGGCATGGAAGCTTTTTTTATGAGGGGAGTTTGAAATTGTTAAAGAATAGAAAAATAAGTTTTTGTTAATGAAAAATGGATTTGGCAATATCCTAAATAAAGGAAAAACAAGTACAAATCACAGAAAACATCATTTATTCTACATCTAGATGATCTAGAAATGAAGAAGACTATGGAGTTCTGTTAGGAATGTAAAAGTACACTCTGCATGTTTCAAACATTTCAAATCAAGTTTTATTTCAAGTGTCCCATATTACCCAGTCCCAGTGGTAATTCAGAATGCTTTTTTTTGCTTCTGACACCTTACAAATAACAAATGGTATTTTTACAGATGCCATATGATAGCCCTTGTAAGGACCTTTAAGATGAGCTCAAACTTGTTTATTAAATATTTCATGATAAGAATTTATCAGCAAAAAATGGACAAAAAAGCCAAACCTTAATCATCTTGTTTGATGGTATGTGCCATTTTTTTCCTTTATTTTCACCCAACAAACAAAAATTTTATAAATGGGCCACATTGGCTGCAAGCATGAGCATTTTTGCTGCATTCATGGGTGGCTTCTGCCAGAATTTGAAGAAATTATCTTGTGCTATACTATTCTGGAAAATCATTCAGAAATGGGCCATGAATGAGAATGAGACAAAAATGCCTGATCTTGCCATTCTGTAATATTGGACACTGGACAGAATTTTCCAGAAATTGCAGGTAAACACAATTTTACATATATGACATTATTAAAACTTTCAAAAGAAATCAGGCTAGGGCTATAAAAACTGGTTGAAGTAGACTGCAAGCGTGGACATTTTTGTCCAAGTCATGAGAAACTTCTGCCCGATTTTCTGGAATGGCATAATGCATATATCCATTTACCTACAGTAATTATCAATTATATACATTTATATCAAATGGCAAAAAGCCAAAAAGTTTATTAGTATTGTGGGTGAAAACAATAGTTTCACAGGTGATTTTTTGAAATTGCAGGCTAAAAAATTTTTTGCTGAAGAAATTGTGAAAAGGCTACAGAAATTTGTATAAATTGGCATTTGTATAGCCTTTGCAAAATCTTTTCATAAAAATTAAAAAATTGGCAATTTTTGCCTAGCAGCCAGCTAGTATGGAATATATCTACTTGGCGAGCCGCGACTGAATTTTTCAAGCCGTGGTTTTATGGATTTGCCAGCCGTGATTCCATTTCTACGAGCCATGATTCTATTTCACCGAGCCGTGAATTCCATATCTCGGCCATGAAAAGCCATTTACGAGGTGCGAATGCAAATTTATTTACAAAGTTTATGCACGTGTTACCCCAAATCTCTAATTTTACCCTTAAACAGTCAAACGGCAACAATAAAATTTGTCTCTACTGTAAGTTCAGCACGTGTTAATATACAGTCTGACCGCTTTGACATGACCGCAACTATGCGCGATCTTCAACAAACGTTTTGTTTATTTGTTTACATTACGATGTTTATGTTTTTTCTGCAAGATATTTTTGGCGGAAACGGTAAAGCAATGCGGATTGCGGAAGTTGAAAATTTTATGAAATGACATGTTTGCGAAGTGCAAACCGCGATTTTTTAATCAAACAAAAATTTATGACATTCGAGCTGCGAGATTTCATACCTACTGAAATTATATGATACTATTAGAGCCGCAATATTTCAGACAAAAATAGGACTTTTCCAGACTCAGCAGCCAGCATTAAAGAAATTAAGAAAACTGTCCATAAACAATCATTTTTACCCATAGTTTTAGGAAAATTCTGCATAATAATCCAGAATTTCAGTTTTGAAGCAAGAAATAGGTAAATTTTTTAATTATTTGAAGCCAAAATAAATTTTGCGCACCTTCCGCTATTCTAAATCTAAACTGGGGTAAGGGCCATAAAAACGTGTGAAATTAACGGCAGCACATGTACCTATTATTGCCACGCAGCCACATTCACTGCTTGTCATTTTAAATTTTCCAGAATGGCTCAGCACAGCGCTAGGCTCAGGCTGCTAAGCCTATAGAATACTTATACTGAATAGTAAATACAGATCAGGCTTGCCTCTGAAAGAGGAAAATTGGACAGAAGAAACCCATGAATTAGACAAAAATGCCTATGGCTCTTGCCAACTGCCAAGTTCACCCATTCCTATAGCTATTTCCCAATTTCTTTAATGAAAACATTAGTCTATTTTTACCTAAAAATTCTGAAAATCACCTGTTAAACAATCTTTTTTGCAAACAATTTCAAGAAACTTCCAAGTTCCACCCAATATTCCAAATTTGCTTGCCAGCCTGGGCCCCTGGAGGCTGGGGCAGTCCTATTGGAAAATTGGGCAGGAATCAGCATGGTCTCTGTCGACTGTCATCAAACATCAGCTGTGTCCACTGTCCAGCCATCAACAAGGAGAAGGAAGTATTACTATTACATACCTAGGCAATAAAATCTCTAGAAAAATATATGCCTACTATGCTACTAATTACTAAATGTATGTACCAGAACTTGAGATTTGAGAACATGCAACAGGATCATTCATGCTGATCATCAGATCATGCATTCAAAATGTCACACGCGATACGTATCGGGAATCGGGAGTGACATCACTGCAAGCTTAACCACTTTCTTTTTGTCATAACTGATAGCTCCTGCAACTTCAACCCACATCGTCCCACAATTTGTGGGCCACAAAAGTAAGTCATTGTTAATTGTCAGTCGTTCTCATTGTTGTCATTTAGCAACATACGTGATACGATCAAAACAAAGCATACCGATACTCATTTTACTGTTATCAAAAGAAGGTTTAATACTTCATAGCTAGAAAATTACACGCATTCTAATAAACAAACTATCGCAACATCAAACTGTCGGAAAAGGTAGAAATGAAATGTACAAATATTTGAAGCTTGGTTGAAAAATCCCTTCTTCAAATCAAATTCTGGCGGTTCTACTTAAAAATCCTAAAACTTGGATCGATTCAGCATAACATTAGAGATATTGTAAAGCATCTTGCACTGAGTAATGAGCAGAATTAAGCAATTCGTAATTATATAATCAAAGTTTGCATTATAACGTTCAATAATTCGTGAAAAACTGACATTTAGGTTTATGTATTGTTGGTTCCAGGTTGGAGGTGAATGAAAAAGACATCTCCTGGACTGTTCCGACATTTATGGAACGAATTTTCATAGCAGGTATTCCACACATAAATTTATCTATACAAAACCAATCTTGACATAACCAAAATTGATTATATTATGATTATGGCTGTGATGGCACAACTACATGTATGTATACCGATTCGTACGGTTGGTGTAGCGGCTATATTTAACAACTGGCCCATGCGTTACCGAATGGCGATTGTGATCTTCACCGTGAAATTAATTCACCTATGCACGTATTTCTCGATTCCCTCCACTCCATCTTGCAATTAAGGTAGTGTATGGACTACGGGCAAACACATATGAAATACACTTGTATGCAATTATGCACACATCTGAGCAGTGCCACAGACATTAATACCAACATACGTCATGTTCGTATATCATATGTTCATAGATCAGGTACGGTCCGGTCGCACAGCTGTCAATAGGTAAAGAGGACATGAGGCAGAACAATCTTAGCCACTAAGGTTCACCATCTCGTCCAATACAACCGAGTCACAAGTACCAGAAATAAATCGTATTTAAAAAGGTGAAACTCTTATGGTCAAACGTTCTCGAGTCAAGACATTAGGGTAGCAATTCCAGGAACTGACTTGGCTAAGTCCGTCTCCTCTTCCGTAACCAAATAAACTTACAAGAAGCGTCCCACAAAAAAAAAAAAAAAAAAAAAATACGCATAAGATGATTTCCGGTTTGGTCTAATAATTAAAATCATTTTATTACAGTTTATTTACGAAAACAACATGCAATGCTTACGCTAGAAAATTTTTAGAGCTACGACGATGCTGCACGCAATGAGTTGTAGGTAGGCTAATTTAGGAATAAATAAAAATCAATGTGATGAAAATACTCGATACATTGACAAAAAAACTTAATGTTGGAGGATTTTTTCGGGAGTACATCCTAGAGTGAACCCCATATTCGAAAAAAAATCTCGAAGATTAAAATAGAAAAAATTTGATGTACATAGCACGCTAAACCCAACGGTTTCCTAAGTAGGAAGTGCTCACAAAATAGATAAGACGAATCCAACGCGTGCATTTCATGTGCAGATACGATCAAGACAAGTGAAACTCTCAATCATTTTTGGGAAGCTATTCTGTAATCAGTTAAAGCGAAGAAGCGAGCTCTAAAAGTATTTTTCTTAATCAAGTAAGTCGTCGAGCGAGCGAGAGAATACCCCGTTAATCAGGCTATATATACAATGATTCGTCAAGAAAATCCAGTTTCTTAGTCGCCAACTGCGTTAGAAATTTAAAGATATTCAATGCCGCCGAGCAGTGCGATGCATAAAAATTTCTTGCATTCATCACAAGAAAATTAGCTTCCTTTTGAATCACTCAAAATCGAAAGCTGCTGACTAAAGGATGCCGATAAGAAAATTATTTTACAAAAAGTACCAACAACAAAAAATATTTTCAGTTGCTATATTAAATTTTCTCATATTGTTCGATTATGAGATTATATTAATCCAGGGAGAGAGAAAACTTTATTTTCCCTAGAATCAGTATAAAAAAGTTCTTCATCTACCAGTTAAGCAACAATTTCCTATCAGAGGCCAGAAACATACATTTTCTTTTGGAACCATTCACAAACTCTCCCAAAATCAAAGAGCCTCCAACAACGACGATTTGCACTTATGACAGATTAGCGTCTGACGCAAGACGGACGACGAGCGATTAGACGAAGTTAGCGAGCATCCGCAGGTCTCGAGAGCTTCAGATGTAACTGCAACCATCATTGGAGAGCAACCGTGCGCTGGAGATGCAGCATTTCGCTCGATTTTGCGGACCGCTGTTGCGGTTACTTGGGTTCCGTTGCGCCAGGAAGCCCGAGTCATGCATGAAGGCCTCCACCCGAACAAATCTTTGCAGAGTTGTCTTCTGCGCTAGTCAGTCGTAATAGACATAAGGACGAGTCGTGGTTTGAGCACAAACTTGTCCAGTATGGTATTATTGTGATGCTATGAGGACACGGCCTTGTCTTCAGGCCTACGCGCTGGCTCAAACTCAGGGGAACAGGCGACTGTAGTCCAGGTAGAGGCTGGACTTCAGGATTTTCTCCCATTGACGAACCGTGTACTCAAACCTGAATCGTGTTCAAGAAATTGAGAACATCCACCACAAAGAATAAGCACTACAAGAAAATAAATTTTTCACATGCTTACAACTACATTATTTGGTATTTGCATTGAACTACAGAGGATTAAATATAATAGTTTGAAGAAAGAATGAGTTCATATGAGACAATGAACCAAAGACTTGATTCAAATAAGAATTTGAGAATTAATCAGTTAAGCTGAGTATGGAAATCAGTCATTACTAACCAGGCTCGCTCAGTCGGCGGCGAGTCATAGCCAGGGAAGCTCCTGCGCTCCAGGCCCATGATGGCCGATCGCAGCGTCTGCATGGAGGGCGACAGCGAGTTCCTCTCTGTAGAAGATATTAAATTGCGATAATGAATACTGGCCTCGTGGCTTCTGAAACTGATATACTGAAACTGATATAACTGATACAAAATACCATTGAAAATGTGAACCTGCAAGGATAATCTTTCAACTCGATAGTTAATTATTTCTAAATGTAGAAAGCATGCCCAAGCCTCAAAAGTCACTGTTGACTATGGCTGAAGTCAATAATCTCGACTTTACTCATTAAGAATACAAAAATACTCATTTACTATACCTACACACCATCAATATTATAAAAGATGTAAATTGTACATAAACAAATATTTCCACTGACGCTAGAAACTGTGAAGCTGCTGCTAAGACACTCCACAGATAAGGAAACGGCAAGTGAAAATGGCAGTTAATCAATCATTATGATAAAGCTACACATAAACGGTGCCATTAAAAATGAAGTTCGTGTATGAGTCGAGAAGACGAGATAGAAGCGGTCATGTTAAAAGCCAGTTGAGTTCTGTGTAAGAATTGTAGAAATCAAAGTGGTCCACATTATGTGCCGCATTATCAAAACTCACTCAGGTACAGGTAGCTACAGATTTATTGTCTGTGAATGGTGGGTTTAGCCTGAAACGTTGTCAGTTATTAGCTGACAATTTTGCGAACTTTTAATTATTTTTTATAGTACGACTCCAGGTGACACAGAATGGAGTAACAGTCGTTCAAACCAAGAGGCAGCTGCTGAGTTTGTTGCGTGTTGAACACTGTGAATTGCGTGTTGTTTTAAACAGTGTTAACAACACAAAATTATACTTCTATATAGGTATCTCTATCGTTTAGGAACGAAATAATCTAGATTACTGCTTTTTCAAGGCATAAATTCATTTGGTTCACTACCACACTTATGGAACAAGTTGTCAAGAAATGAAGGGCAAGCGGCCTGGAACGACTAATAAGAATCGTATAGTTAGTGAGACGGACTGGATTGAAATTGGTGTGCTGGGAACTATGAGAAGACAATAGGCTTAATCGGCGAGTCAACGCTCTTTTCCAGTGATGTTGTTGTCCTGCTGAGAATTGAAACTTGTCACGTTGCAGATTTTCGCACGGTTACAATCATACCTAGTGCAGGTAGAGTTGCTCCTTAGCAGTCCGATTAGGATTTTTACAAGCAAAGAAAGTATTTACCCTAGGCGCAGTTGTGGATAAAGGGCACGTTATCATACTTAGTGCAGGTAGAGCTAAGCAGGCCGATAGAGATTAATACCATCCGATGTCCGGACCTCTTCGTGGTGGATGGACCCCTCCGGTGCGACCCGTCGCTCCATTGGGCCAAACACGGACACAACTCCCGGACCTGCTGCGGGCCGTTTTTTTCGGCTTGGTGGCGCCCCCATGCGGGGCGTCGCTTCTACCCTACCGTCTCTCTAACCTCGGCCGCAGCTCGTCCATCTGACCAAGTCACCATTGCCCTCCTCCTCTTGATGGCGGGTATTCACCCTAACCCCGGCCCTGACCCCTGTGGGGTCTGCGGGCGCCTGGTCACCTGGAGGGGAACTTCCTTCCGGTGCTACCGCTGAAGCGCAGTTGTGGATGAAGGGCAGAGAATCGTACCTAGTGCAAATAGAGTTATTCCTAAGCAGGCCGATAGGGATTAATACGAGCTTAGAAATTATATACCCTTAGCGCAGTTGTGGATGAAGGGCAGAGAATCGTACCTAGTGCAAATAGACTTATTCCTAAGCAGGCCGATAGGGATTAATATGAGCTTAGAAATTATATACCCTTAGCGCAGTTGTGGATGAAGGGCAGAGTATCATATTTAATGCAGTTGAGCTAAGCAGTCCGATTACAATTATTACCAGCTAAGAAAGTACATACCCTTGGCGCAGTTGCGGATGAAGGGCAGAGTGAAGAGATTGACCGTTCCTCTGGGCGCCTCCCCCACACCACTGCTCATGTTCAGCAGACCTGGCCTCAGGTGACGGCTCACGTGGCGCTGAGAAGTAAGAATTCTTAGGTTATTCTTTCAAGAATAACCTATCAAAATAATCATTACAAATTGGCTTAAAATTGAAGAAATGTATGAATCAGTGCTGGTGTGGACATTTCTCATTTACAAGTGAAAATAATTTACTAAAAAGTGTAGAGGGGAAGACTTTCAAGATCAAGATTATGTACACTTTTTCTGGATTTATGTTACAAGAGCGATAGAATTAAAAAAAGAGTAATTAATTCCAAAATAATAGACAGAGAAGCCATTAAAGTGTGTCACTATTTAAAGAGGTAATAGTTTAGCTCAAAAATTCGAAATAAACAGTAGTTGAAAGTGACGATATCCAACAAAATTATGAGTCACAGATACGGCGATGATTAAATTTCAAGGACCTAATCAAGTTCAATTTTTACATTCTCAAATTGCGGTACACGTGGCCAAGTCAGATATGCCCATCATGTATGTCACCTAAAGAAAAATTGACACCCTACTGAAATTTGTACCGCTCGCTTCACGCTTTTAGCAGAAATTTGAGATCAGTAGACTGTATTGGACAACATTTCGGGATTACACAATAAGACCAAGAAGAAACGTCTTGACCGAAAACGGAAGAAACAGAAAAATTTTGATCAAGAGGGGTTGCTAGAAAGACAGAGAATATTATTGGGAATCAAAAAGAAGCTATATAAGGTAAATAAATTAATGGTTAAATGAATTACTATACCTCAATGAAGGTCAACGCCTGCAGACTGGGAGGAGCTGATGACATCTTGTTGCACACAACCATCACCGTGGAGCTTACCAGAGGCTTTGATTCTCCGCACAAGTCCGGTGTAGAGCCTGCAGCATAAATGAAGCAAGATATAGCGCACGCGGTAACTAAGCAACTAGTTCTAGAACAGATATATTTAATATCCCACCTAACATAGCGTCACTACAGTAAAATCTGGCAGATTGGTCCTTAAATAGCAAAGACTGGTCGCATTTTTACTTTCGCAAAGACGTCACTACAACCACTTTTTCAGAAAGTGGTCACTACATATACTTTTTAAAGACTGGTTACTGAATTCATTTTTGGAAAAACTAATCACTACATTCACTTTCGTACGTACTCGATGGTGGTATAAATGGTACTAAAGATACTTTGGTAAAGATTGATGACGACGTACACAGATGTAAAGATCCGTCGATACACACACAGTTGCTAAGACTTGCACAAAAGCATTGAGCTACAAAAATTTGGTTGACAAAACGTGTTCTTCCTATTCTTCTTCCTTTCATTCATCTGCACAAAATAAATTTCAAATTCACTCTAAGCTAAAATGTTTCAATCTAATGAAGTTATGCAAGAAATCGGCAATTTTTGGTGAATGATAAATAAAAATACCAGGTAGTCCAATGTGACTACGAGACAGAGTAGCTAGAACGTTATTATCTTAGTTTCTTCACAACTATCTAGCCCAGAATTATAACCGAAAAATGAGACAGATGCTAGTTGAACCCATTAAGGGGTTGTATGAATTGAACCTAATTAGGGTGTATGAATGAGACAATTATGAAGTGAATGACGCAAATACACGGAAAATGCCGTGAAGGAACAAATATTCTTCTTTTAAAGTGGACTACAAATTAAATGAATGAGGTAATCATTGGCTAACATGCAGCCTAGAAACATATATGGTATTTCTAAATGAGACTGTAAATGAAGTGAACGAGTTATACATACGTATGGTGTGAGTCCCCGTTGCTTCATCAGATCGATTAACGACAGCTGCAGCCTGCAATACAGAAAATTAAATATAATTACACTCCAGGAGCGTTTCTGAACAATTCTTTACCTACGATACGATGAACTGCAATGCAAACAATTAAAATGTATTTGATAGAAAATTTAGTGAAATCATTGACATTATTGGTAGGTACAAATATATTTGAAGTATATTCCTCTGTTAAAATTGTTCAAAAATTTATGAATACTCGATATGGTTCTATAGAATACAGCAATGCCAGAGACAAAGGGTACCTATGCAGAAAACTCATGTTTTACGGGCATACAACAATGAAAATGAATGAAAGAGTTCACGTTTATGATATTGAAATGAAATATTTATGCGTTTAAATTATATTGTAGTTTAAACTGAAATGATATTCATCAAATGGTCAGAAAATTAAGTATTATATATAGGCCTCGAGCGTCATAAACTTTATCAGTGTCAACAGCAGAGCATCGGAATAAAGCCCCATACCTTAGTATCAGTATAAAGTAAGAAACTTTTTTCAGGGATGAGAAGTTGAGCATAATTACCTTGATAACTTCAAAATTATGAACTTTGTGTCGTTAAGAAGATGAAAAAAATCATGTACTTTGTGTTGGGAAAATGACCAAGCGATCAAACTTTAGGTAAAAATAAACAATAAATCATAAAATTTGTGTAGTACTGAAAACAAGCGTGTATAATTACAGGATCTGGGGCAGTGGCTCTTAAACCGAGAGCCAATTAATAATTCATTCAAGGCAATAAAAGGCATGGTCCGTTTTTCGATGTAAAAAATATTACTCAGTACTCACTGCAGTGAGTGACAGAGAGCGTATTTCTCGTTGACGAAAACTTGAGGTCACGGACAGACGGACAGACAGACAGACAGACGGACATGGCGAGCACAATAGTGCATTTTTTCCATAAATGAGAAAATGCGCTAAAAAGTGACGAAAAATTTGTGGAAGCCCAGCATCAAAACACTTGTTACTGGGCCTCTATTTATAAAGCATTGACAACGGTAATGACACTGTAGATATAAAGTCAACTTGTAGCAGAATGAGATTAACTAATTAACAGGCATTGAGCTACAAGTAGAAAAGACGATAGCGAGAGCAACAGGGACAAAGGTTAACCCTTAGAAACAAGATGAGTTAGTTTGCGGTTTAGTTGAGTAATAAACTGAATGAGTTTGAAGACCTCTGTACAGACCTGAAGACACTTGAGCAGCTCAGTTCCTTGCTCCCTGGAGTCTTGCACGACGACCACGACGTGGCAGACACGTAGCGCCAGCGCCATAAACTGCAGTGACCTGGTCTGCACCAGCATCTCCAGAGGTCTGCACGAGAACAGGGGAGTCAGGGTCTGCATGGTTTCAATTCATTTAAAATGTAAATAAAAAAGAACCGCAATAAATTTAATGATAAATAATTAGATTTAAATGTCTTTTACAGACAAAAACCATGCAAGTGGAACCAACATGCGGGAGTCAGAGGTCCCGACGGTGGTGTCCATGGCTCCTGGGGCAAGCAGGGCAGGGAAGTCCAAGACGATGAGACGCTGGGGCGTCACTAAAACATCCAAGCCTCCCGTGCAGTGGCTACCCTTTAGCAGCTCTGAACGACCACTTACTCGAAACCCACGGTCACTGTAAACAGTATATTTGATTGTGAGTTTTTTAATGATAGTTAATGTTAATACATAATTGGGGCAGTTGAAGGCACACACATAAATGGATAGTTCCATGTAAAACGGGCACTTGAATGCACAGTAGAACAAAATGAAATGATGAGGTAGTTGATTGCGAGTACCTACCTAGTTTTGGCTATTGCACAGTATGTACATTTTTAAATGTCATAAAAAGTATTCATGATGCCAGAATTTTAATAATGGAACAAAAATCTGAATTATTCTTAGTGTACGTACAGTGAAAAGAGTTATGGTTGCAAAGTTCTTATAAGATACTCATGGGAGTGCTACCAGGTATTATTAAATTATTCCCACATATTTACAAGCAAGAATAGGTAATTTGTACAGTGTGTTAAATTGGGAGCTTGAAAGACACACCTGCCAGCTGGAGGGTTGAGTTTGGTCTGCAACAGCAGTGAGGCAATAGTACTTTTGCCAACACCTTGCCTGCCAATCACCCCCACCACCAGGAAGTTGGTTTGCTCCAGAAGGTAGGCATTGAATGCAGTGTGGCCCTCACACAGCTTGAAGTCTAAATCAATCAGACGGAATGGTTGACGCATTTCCTTGGATGGGACAACTTTATCTGAAATGTCATAAAACCAATGGATGAGTGAGAAATATAATTGCAGCGAGGCATTACACTAACCAAACTGCTGAATAAACAAAAGCTGTTTTATTGTATGAGCTCCCATAACTGAAAGAAATGTTTTCTCATTTAACCTGCAGCTGATTAGGTTCCATACCTCAAATAAACTGTTGCATGCATAAAAAAACATTTAAATTTGCATCTCCTTTACAAAAGGCATTTGAAAATTAATTAAGGACTTGTTATAAAAAGTTGTTAAACATTTTATTAACAAGAGCCCTAAAAAACTAGGAAAAGTTCTTAAACATGTTCTTTATCACAGTATTAAATTAGAAAATATAAAAAGGTGTAACACTGTTAGGAGTTAATGAACACCAGCAAATATTACACCAAGATATACAAAGATAAAAACTCACTCTCAAGGTCACTGAAAACTGAAGGCTTGAGACCTTTGTCATAGATGGTAAGTGGTGCTCCTCTACGCAATACCTCACGCTCGGCACTCTTCTTCTCACTGCAGCAAAAGAAACATTAATTGAGAGATTTGATGGCACATACACACACACTACTTTTTTACTTGGTTTTGAATAGCCTTCAGTAACATTGTTAACTCAATAAGTAAAGTACCGTAAAATGGGGTAACTTAGACCGGCGGGGTAACTTAGACCACTTTTAGTTTTTTTAACAAAAACCCCCACAACTCAAAAACTATTTGACATAGAAAAATTTTGTCAATTGGCATTAAAGGCCTAATACTGAGGCTACATAACACAATAGAAAGATTTAAAAAGTTTGCATATCTAATAGGTTAATAAATTAAAAATGTGACCCACAAAAAAAAACTATTATTTAAAGCCTGTCAGAGTACCCCCTCCAATTTTTTCATTATTTGGTTAAATAACTCCAGGTTTTGATGCATTGTAGTAGAACTCTTCTAGTTACATATGCAAATGACAAATTTTAGGAAAGTGTTATAATTTGCAAATGGGGGGCGCCGCCCCCAAATGGGGTTACTTAGACCACCTAATGTCAGCCCTGACGGGGTAACATAGACCGGCTTGGAAGTTAATATAAAATTACCATATATAACATATTTTATGTTTGACAGCCTATTTATGTTTTTTCTTTATGTTTCAGACTCTACAGAGTCTTATATATGGTAATTTTAACTTAATTTCCAATCCAGTCAATATTACCCCATCATGGCTGCCATTAGGTAGTCACATTTCCCTCATTATGGGGTGGCGCCCCCCATTTGCAAACTATGACACTTTCCTCAAGTTTGTCATTTGCATATGTAACTAGAAGAGTTCTAGTACAATGCACCAAAACCTGGAGTTATTTGGAGTTATTTTACCAAAAAATATAATTGATTTTATCACCCGGTCTAAGTTACCCCAAGAGCTGGGGTAACAAAGACCATCACTTTTTTTGAAATTACAAAAAGACTATGAGAGGCAGGAGCCAGCAATTTATAATGAGTGAAGCTAGAGTATAGACCTGTATTTTGCACGTTTCAATTCAAGTTTAATTTAGCTAGTAAAAAAATGGCATCATTCATAGAAAAAAAAGTGGTCTAAGTTACCCCATTTTACGGTATTGAAAACAGCCATGACTTTCTTTACTGCAGGGACTAAAACTAGTAAAATATAATTCTTGGGTTAGGCAGTTGTAACTAATATTAGGTAAATTAGGAAGAAATACATGACATTATACAACACACATTACACATCCAATAACTTACATGCCAAGCAAATGTGGTTGTTTGAACTCCTTCTCAGGAAGAGGTTTAGAGCGAGAGAGAATGACTGGTACAGAAGAAGGGCTTGACTGGGTTGATTCAGAATTGGGTTTCAGAATTTGAATTTTGGCTGGCTCTTTGTCTTCTTCCATCTTCATATTCCGATTAAGAACAATCTTGGGAGAAGATCTTTGCGACTCCATGTAAGATGGCATGGCAGGCAAAGTGTCCAAAGCAGCAGTCTGAAAAGTCTCGCTGCTAATTTTCATCATTGGATTCATTATCTTTTTAGCTCCCATGAAGACTGGCTGGGGAGACCTTCTTGCTTCACTCTCCCAAGCATTGTGAATTTTCCTTGTACTGAAATCCCCTTCTTCTGTAGATGCTCCACTGTAATCTTCATAGCTGTATCCATTGCGCCTATTTTCTTTGTTCTGCTTGCCTGAGAACTTCTTAGCAGATTCACAGTACAATTTTTGGTCGGTTTCATCAGATACATGAGAGTAAAGAGGTTTATGGTAGCCATGAGATTTTGAGTGTCCAGAAAAAACCTTTGGATTTTTCATTGTTTCTGGCAAGAAGCTCTCCAACTCTCGATCTGACTGAATAAATAAAAAAATGTTAAAAAAAGAAATAAGATGTTTAAAAGTAATCTCCATCCATCAGATAATTAATTATAAGCAACCAGCTGAGACCAACTTTCATTACAGGAGGAACCATTGAAACTTTTTGAAACCTTTCAAAATTAATAAGATAAACATCAATACATATAAAAAAACATTGATATACAGAAAATTTTTAATGCTTCCTGGGCTGCTGGGCATAATGAATACTGGCAGTAATTTAAAATCTAGCCGAATCACCTGCACACAGTATCATACAAAACATGATCCCTTCTCATTAATCCATGGTGCAGAGAGTGGGTAAATATTCAAAAATCTTTAGCAACACATCAGCATCAAAATATTAGTCTTCAGAATGTCTTGCCAACATGTAGGTATCTTGTTAAAAACCTATTTTATTTGCATGCATTCATGACAAAAATATTTTGAAGGTTAAGGCAGTTCTGGTAAGAAATCCCGTAAAATGGGGTAACTTAGACTGGCGGGGTAACTTAGACCACTTTTTGTTTTTTTAACAAAAACCCCCAAAACACAAAAACAATTTGACATAGAAAAATTTTGTCAATGGGCATTAAAGACCTAATACTGAGGCTACATAACACAATAGAAAGATTTAAAAAGTTTGCATATCTAATAGGTTAAAAAATTAAAAATCTGACCCATAAAAAAAAGCTATTATTCAAAGCCTACCAGAGTACCCCCTCCAATTTTTTTATTTTTTGGTAAAATAACTCCAGGTTTTGATGCATTATAGTACAACTCTTCTAGTTACATATGCATATGATAAATTTTAGGAAAGTGTCATAGTTTGCAAATGGGGGGCACCACCCCTAAATGGGGTAACTTAGACCACCTAATGTCAGCCCTGATGGGGTAACATAGACCGGCTTGGAAGTTAATATGAAATTACCATATATAACATATTTTATGTTTGACAGCCTATTTATGTATTTTCTTTATGTTTCAGACTATACAGAGTCTTATATATGGTAATTTCAACTTAATTTCCAAGCCAGTCAATATTACCCCATCGGGACTGCCATTAGGTAGTTACATTTCCCTCATTATGGGGCGGTGCCCCCCATTTGCAAACTATGACACTTTCCTCAAGTTTGTCATTTGCATATGTAACTAGAAGAGTTCTACTACAATGCACCAAAGCCTGGAGTTATTTTACCAAAAAATATAATCTATTTTACCACCCGGTCTAAGATACCCCAAGAGCTGGGGTAACAAAGACCATCACTTTTTTTGAAATTACCTAAAGACTATGAGAGGCAGGAGCCAGCAATTTATGGTGAGTGAAGCTAGAGTATAGACCTGTATTTTGCATGTTTCAATTCAAGTTTAATTTAGCTAGTAAAAAAATTGCATCATTTATAAAAAAAGCGGTCTAAGTTACCCCATTTTACGGTCTTCAATAATACTGGTGAGTGGTGACACTCTGGACCTAATTTCCTAATTATGCCAACACAATTGCTAAACTCTGCACAGTAGCTTCTTATGTTGAAAAAATTAATTTTAGATAAAATTAGAGCCATGGTTTCAACTGATTTTACAGCTACTTTTTTTTAATTTGGATCAAATTTTTTCTATAATATGTAAGAAAAATTGCATAGTTTGTCAACAATTTTTTGTAACATCACCAGAATCTGGCATGGAATAGGTATATCTACTTATATTGCAACTAGAGCTCTCCTGCCATTTTTGGAGCTGCAATGGGCAACCTGCAAGATTCTTGATAGATGATTACCACCTATCTATTTTTCAAAAAGGATGCAGGATTGGGATGCAAGATTCAAAAAGTATAAAAAATTTCTAACATAGAAGTCACCAGATTATAATAATAAGTAACAAAATTTTAATCTTAACCACAATTGTAAAATTCCTCATAAAATGATAGTTTTTACTGTATTTTTCCTAAAATTGTTGGTAAAACAATTGTTTCAGAGGTGATTATCAAAAACCATGGGTGACAAAAAGTAATTTTAATATTTTACAATAAAGAAATTTGAAAGGGCTATAAGAAGAGATGAAATTGGCCAAATTTAGTACAAAGGTTTTGTCTAATTAGGGTAAACGCGGTATATTCCGACACTTTAAGGACGCATCGAGAAATGAAAAACTATAAAAAAAACCGTATGCATTACATAAGTTCTGTTGCCTTCACATGACTCTCAAAACACTTCACTACGCGTCAGCAACGATGAAACGTTACAAAATGTTGCCATATTTATTAAAAAGCCTTTAGAATGGAAACCTACCAAATCCCTATATTCCGTCATTTTGTGTGGCAACATCCGACACGTGGTGAGTCGTATTGCGTCAGCGCTTTAAATTTAACTGATACGTATTGCCGACATCCACGTGTTCGAATTCCGTTTGCTGTGTGAGCTGTATTGGGATACAACACGGTTTTGAATTAGAACACTAACGAATATTGAACACTACTTAATTACGTTTTAATTAACAGCTATTAGGCTTTTAATTAAGCAAATTTCAATTTTTGTACAAAGCTTTGAACGATCTGTGTGTGTCCAATTCAAGTTGTGTCAGAATTAGTTTTCATGTGTCGAAATCCAAACATCTCAACTTAATCATCTATTAATTTATTTACGACTTGAAATCAGCAAATACAAGTATACTTAAAGGATTCCTAATATATTCACAGACGAATTTAAAAGTCTCAAACCATAATATTCTTCCTATAAAAACAGTTATTCACTCTTTGGTAGAGCCATGTCAACTGTCAAATTTGACACATTTTTCGATGATCTCACCACGTGGCATGCATTGTCTCTCTTTGGATCTCAATATTTTCCCGCTAGATGGCCAAGACCTAGTGTTTTTGCAGTATTTCGACACGCAAATGTATGACGTCATCATTTCAACCATCAATGAACGCATGGAACTAAAACAAAGCTTAATATAAAGGAAAAACTAGAGAAGTGACGGAATTACCTACGATGTCGGAATATACCGCGTTTACCCTAATGGTTAAATTTCCCAGTTTGATCTATAGAACCCAAAATATATACCTAGGATTAAGAAATCTTTGCTATTAGCTATAAATTATAACCCATGCAGTATGCACAAAAAATGGTCTATGATAAAAATAGTAATATTTTTCTTCAAAACAATTTCAAATACTTTTTACTGTGTTTTTACTACACAATAATATATTATTAATATGTCAAATATACCTAATCTTATCTACAGAGTACAAACTACAGGAATTAGCTAGAACTTCTAGAAGTTTCAATAATTCACTATACCTATCACACAACCCAATAAGCAAATTATTTTTAAAGGCTTAGTGTAACCTAGTCATTCACTTAAAAAAACACTAGAATTTCCTTCAAAATACATTCAATTTTTACATAGGCCCATTCAACTTCAAGTAGCCTAAATTGACACTACAAAAGAGATAAACAATAATTAGGCTAATTTAGGTACAAATCCATGTTTGATGTTACAACTGAAAATGAACTGATAGCGATAGGCAGGTGTTTGTGGGGTAACGCAGCTCGCAGCAAAGAAATATTATTATAGGCTTAAGGCTAAGACTGATTAGCTATTTCATGACTTTAAACCTAGTTTATATAGGTAGGTATTCGTCTTCAAGTAAGATTTGAGATTTTGAGTAATATGCCATGTGTTAATTACCTTCCTTGGAAAAGTTCCTCTTTTCCTGGGAAAAGAATTTCTTTCAAATGAACTCATGTTAACCAAAAAGTAAAATTTTTCTTTTTGAAGGTCATGTACGCCAGCATAATACACGTATTATCGTTCATGAGCGCCAAATCCAGAAGATACTGTAGTCTAGACTGTTTCAAGAACACTGAATGTCGAATGTATCGAAGTGGCATGCTTGCCGGGGAACGTCATGAGAGGAAGAAAACAAAATATTTAATGTTTCACGCTGGTTTCCAAAATGCTAGTGTAAATTCGTTTGGTAATATATATAAACTTTTTACTGACTTAGAATTTGTTCTTCATGACTGCATGGAGTGATTTATCAGTGAAAAGAAAATATCGGTCTGTAGTGATTAGATAATATTATAGTGTATAAACCAACCTGCCAAAGATCCAATCTGATTACGAGATTGTTGTTAAACTGGTTGAAATAAGCATTAAAAATTAACTTGATTATATTTCTGTCACTAATTTCTTGAAACATTCAAATTTTGCGAGGGGCCAGACAAATTTTTTTGCCGGTCTAATATGAGTATAGTAATAAAGTTGAGTATTTCAGCAGTCGAGTATTCAGTTTTCATGTCAATCAACAGTTCCATGATTCTGAACGAATCAGTCCTGTCAGTCCATGACAGGACTGATTAATTGACGTCAATGCACTTTTCTCTTTTATCCTAATTTTAATTTTGCATTTATAATTTTGAGTGCACTAACACTGCATTGGACTTCGTACATGAATTTGGGTTTATTTAGTGCACAAACAAATCTATTGTTATTAGCACATCGCGCACTCAATTTTTCCACAGTTCATATCATTTTCTCTCGTGTGCCTTCAGTCACTGAGTATCAAATAAAGTATTCTAAGAATTCAAAACACATTCTTCGAAAAGTTCTAAAGATCTACGAGCGACATCACGGCTTCCATCGTCTGGAGATTGCGTATCGAATTAGAGAAAGTTTCTGGCTGTATCGGAATGTGTCCCTCAGCGGCCAAATTTATGAGGCGTCCAAGTACTATAAACTCGAGAATTCAACTGCTTCTGCGTGGCAGATGCAACTCCTTGATGGAAGTCGACCGGGTTGCTTGATGGAAGTTGACGATGGTTTCTTGACGAGAAGCGAGTTTCTTGATGGAAGTCTGCTGTTTCTCGGCGAAAGTGATTGGAGCAGCGAAATATTTGTAAAAGTATATTTCTCCCTAAAAAGTCGTCTGCATTTATTAAGTGTCAAGCCTGTATTTTTTCTGCAAAATCACATATGTGGTTGGAAGAATTTGTATTATTTAAACTATTATGATTAATAGAGTTAATTCATATTAACATGGTTGGGGTTATGACAAAAATGAGCAAGACTATAACGGGCCAATTGAGTCAGTCATTCCCAGTCCCACATGGTGACCCACGATGGCGGAAAACGGGCTTTTCATCTTTCGTGAAATAAGACAAAAAAGTCTCAAATTGTGACTGGGGGAAGTATGAAGGGAAGTATTCGGGGGAAGAATCTTCCCCCGAAAATCCCCCGAATCTTCTTTCTTCTAAATCTTCAAATTTCGGGGGAAGTATGAAGATTTAATAAAAATTTTCATCTCATAGTCGGCTAACTGAGATGCCTTCAGAATTAGCAACATCAGTAGTAATGTCTTCCTGAACCTGCTCTAGGACTCAAATTTTTCTTCATGAATGTTTGAATTTTCGAAAGAAATTTTTATGATCGATGAGAGCATAAATTTTCATTTTGAATATTAATTGAATCTCAGTACGGCCATTTCAAGTTTTTATACATGACGGTTTCAAAGTAATATAGAATGGATGAGCCAATCAATTTCGATGCCTCAATGATGAAAGACGCTCCACACGAGAGTGAGATATGGAGGCGATTGTGAGTTGATGATACTTTACACCTTTCTGCATATCGTTATCTATAAAATCTATATCAGTATCCCTTCATATCAGGGATGACTTTTCTCTTAGACGTATCATTTATTGCAGGATTACTTTCCCCAAATTAATTTAATTTTTTCTTGCTGTTCATTTTGCATTGTGAATGCAATGACCAGCACGCGATACTTTATGTTTTATGGAAATATAAAAACAACGAGAGGGAACTTGAACATCAATTTAAGAATATTTTATTATTTTGCGAATTTTATCACGGCTAGTAGTCGAACAAAAATGTTCATGCGTTGTTAATTATTAATACGTGTAAGAATTGAAGCATAATCGCGCCGAGGTACAGTCGGCCACTCATCGGCCTTCACCAGAGCTCAATATTTTTAACACTATTGTTAGAGAAACATGCAATTTCAAGCGCAAAAAATCAACAACCTCTAAGTAATTTATCAGAGATTGAAGCCCAATCCTTGCGTTGCGATCAAACTCTGTGAGCAATGAAAGATTTTATCATTTCAATCGACGCGATCATAAATTTAATATCTTGCAGCTGTCATTGACGAGTCTTTATAATACTCTCAAGAAGCTTATTAGATGCAACGCTCGGAATGCTTTCCCCTGCAACTAACTACAATAAAATGACGACTCATGAACTTTGATATTCATGTCCTTATTATATTATCATTGAGGAAATGACGTAATGTTTTGTTTATGATGATTATTGAACAATCTAGAGTTCTTCAGTAGCATAAAAATATTTCCTAGTCTATTTCTTTGTACAAGGCTTTGTACGTTGAAAAGGCTTAGAAATTCTCAATAAACAGATTTATGGGCCATATGCCATGGAAAATTCAATAATATTTTTTAAAATGCAGCGTGAATTTTTTTTAAAAGGGTGCCTATTGGGACTCTAAACACGATACAAATATTCACAGAAAATTTTGTATTTGTAACCCAGTTAAGTGATACTTACTCTATAATTTCTACCACTCACCGAATAATCGCTGACACTCCACGAATAATCGCTAAAACTTAAAGAACGATCGCTGCCACATAATAAATAATCACTAACACTCAACGAATAGTCACTGCTACTCAATGAATAATTGCTGTCACTAACACATAATCGCTGCCACTCGACGAATAATCACTATAATCAATCAATATACGAATCAATAATAACGAATTCATTTAATAATTGTGCATTTTCACTGCCAGTCATTGCATTATCGCGTTCAAGGTTTTATTTTAGAACTTTGCGCTTAATATAGCGCATATGCATGAAAAAACGCGAGCAGTTTTACACAAATGAATGTACGCCGTATCACTTGCTCGTGACCTATATATGTTCAATTGGCATGCATATGGCTAGATGCGGGACGGATTAATAATTTTTGTCTGAATGAGTTGACCTAAAATATTTTTGCTGCATCAAGCTTTGAATTGAACACAATTGCTTTACCTGAATAGAGGAAATATATATTTTATTTATTAGCTAAGGAAAATATTAAAAGTTTATTCTAAGCTCGACTCGTTATTAAAAATCCGTCAACAAAATCCACAACTGAATGGAGCATTTCGGAGCGCTCACATGGAATCGGATCGTTCAAATTTTCGTCTATTCCCATTGTTGAGTTTATGTTGAGCGTTGTTAATTGGTGTCAGCTGCAGAGGCCGCTGTGCGCAACATTTCGAAATAATAAATGGGAATGAAACTGACTAGGATTTTAATTATTTTACTACATCCACGACAGGTGCTGTTTTTTGTATTATAATTATTATTTTTCATTTGATTGGAGGACCATGCATGATATTGTATACGAGCGAAATGATTTTCAGACACATTGCCATATAAGGCGGAAAGTTCGCGATACTTAACAGTCAATTTTGTACGCTACAAAAAGCGAAAAATTCATCATTCTAAACTATTGCGAATATTTAAGGATATATATAGAAGCTCTAAATGTTGTGTGAAAGAAATTCCAAATGGAAATAGTGATTGCTATAAGCATTGAAACAAAGATAAATACATGCAAAAAAATTCAGAGAAAGACTTCGAAAATATGAAAATTCAGAAACAAAGTGTTTTCTCAATTAACAAATGACAAATTATCTCATGAACATAAATGTATTTTAGTTAATTAAATTTGACGTAGAGTTTTAAATCGTAAATTTGTTGCTGTCATGGGATAAGGCCAGGCAATGCGCAGTAGAAAAGTCCAATATATTCAGTACAAAAGGAGAGATCTTCTGTAAAGAAAGTCAGTCGATTGCTATGAGGTCAGACGTCACTCGAGCGCAGACCAAAGCCTACAATTGCCGAGTCGGAATAGAGGCTGATGAGCTGTAATTCCGGGTCGTCGGCTAGCTAAAGACGTGGCAAAGTCGCCAACGTCGCCGCAATGTAAAGGCAAAACGGTGATTAGATTAGCATTAGAAGCCGGACAGTGCACTGGGCGGTGATTAGACTAGCATTAGAAGCCGGACAGTGCACTGGACGGTGATTAGACTAGCATTAGAAGCCGGACAGTGCACTGGACGGTGATTAGACTCGCATTAGAAGCCGGACCTGTCTCTTATACACATCTAGATGTGTATAAGAGACAGCNAGATTAGCATTAGAAGCCGGACAGTGCACTGGGCGATGATTAGACTAGCATTAGAAGCCGGACAGTGCACTGGGCAGTGATTAGACTAGCATTAGAAGCCGGACAGTTTACTGGGCGGTGATTAGACTAGCATTAGAAGCTGGACAGTACACTGTGCGGTGATTAGACTAGCATTAGAAGCCGGATAGTGCACTGTGCGGTGATTAGACTAGCATTAGACAGTGTGTGCTGAAGAGTTGATTCCGAGGCCGTGATAGCTTAGTTCCTAATTTATTTAGTTTAGTATCTCAATTAAAACCCTTTAATGCCTAAACAAATGATTATATATTACCATACTATATAAAATAAAGCTCCAAACTGAAGCATTGATCACATTAGAAAAAGAAACCGAATATACCCTCACTAGCAAGTATGAGGTTATCCCAGACACCGAGCCTAACACTGAAACAACGATTATCAGAGCATTAGGTGCCGTGCCGCGGCTACTAAAGATAGCACGCGATTCAGCCTAACGATATGGTTATGGCTCCACCGATGTGGACTTTGTGAGCGACGTTACAACGGAGCTTCCATTCTTCCAGTGCATCGGCGAAACAAGGTACCTTTAAGCGTCGCCTGTTGACTGGCCACCGAAAACCCAAC